TGCGCAGTGTGGGATGCCGAGTTTGGCGCACCAAACTCGGCGTCAGACACTCTGACACTCTCTCTCTCTCTCTCTCTCTCTCTCTCTCTCTCTCTCTCTCTCTCTCTATATATATATATATATATATATATATATATCACTCACAAAACCTCACACGAGAATCAATCTTCCTCCTTATCGAGGAAGATTCAGTCTCGTTGGGCATGTCTGATTTCCTTTTTCTTTTTTTTCTTTTTTTTTGCAGAATGTTGTATGTTTTTTTTTGTGTTTTTTTTCTTTTTTTTATTTTTCCGTTATGTACTACCGGTTGTCTGAGGCTCGGCAATAAAGTCCGAGGCTCGGGAACGATCAGGCTACCGGTATAGCTGAGCGAGGTACTGGTGGTTTAAGGCATGTGATAGATTGGTTTGTTTGCTACGCCCAGAGGGGAGGGGAGGGGGCTTAAATGTTGTGGGTGCTTTTCCGTGGCTGTTCATTTTGCTGAGGGGACATTTGTTTTTCCTTTATTGACGTGGAGCCTAAGAAATGTTGTGGCTGGCACCACAAGCCATTGAGGTGCAGTAAAAGGCAAGTTTTATACCCAACCCAAAACCAGGCCTATGCCGAGGCTACACAATAACTTGCGGTGCCAGCCACAACATTTCTTAGGCTCGACATAATGAAGGAAAAACAAATGTCCCATAACATTTAAGCCGCTGACCCTAACAGCCACAAAAAAAGCACCCACAACATCCCCTTCTGGGTATAGCAAACAGACCAATCTATACAAGGAGGGGGGGGGCGCGCATTGTATAGATTGGTTTGTTTGTTGTTTGCTATACCCGGAGGGGTGGACGAGGCTGTTAGGGTCAGGGGCTTAAATGTGGTGGGTGCTTTGTTTGTGGCTGTTCATTTTGCTGAGGGGACATTTGTTTTTCTATACTGATGTCGAGCCTAAGAAATGTTGTGGCTAGCACCCCATGCTACTGTGGTGCAGTGGGGTTTCCGTGAAAAAACTTGCCTTTCTTTAAGTCATGTTTAGTGTCCCCACACCCCCTCCCCTCCCACGTATAGATTGGTTTCATTGCTATGCCCTGAGGGGCAGTTCCGACTATAGGGTGAGGGGCTTGCTGCCAGTCACATTAAAGAGCAGAGGAGGGGGGGTTCTGCCCCCCCTCTCCTGGTGACGTCGAGCCAGTACTGGATTCGGAAAAGTGGACAAAAAAAACGAATATGGGGAGGTTAGATGAGGGGAGGTGCTGGGACCGCAAGTTATTGTGGTGCGGCAGCCCTGACGTAGGCCTGGGTTTGGGTTTGGGTATAAAACTCGCCTTGTCTTAAGTCATGTTTAAATGTCTGTTGGGGGCGGGGGGCGCGCACCACCCCCACCCCCCCACCCCCCCACACCCCCTCCCCTCTCATGTATAGATTGGTTTCTTTGCTATGGCCTGAGGGGCGGTTTTGGCTGTAGGGTGAAAGGCTTGCTGGCAGTCACATTAAAGAGTGGAGGCGTCCCCTTGTGACGTGCGAGCCTGCATATCCGAACGACCTCATGAATGCCTCCCTTTTTGCTTTCGTGACCCCCCCTCTTTATCGGCAACCCCTCAGCTTCTTCCGTTTTTCTTTGTAATCAAGCATCGGAAAAGATGTGTGGGTCTACTGGCCAGAGATGAGCAATGGGTACCCAGACCCACACCTACCCGCACCCACCCCACCCACGAGGCATTGGGTCAGGTGTGGGTCTTGATAAGCTGGCATGGGTGGGATGAGGGTGGGTCTAGGTGTGCCAGCCTGGGTGAGTGACGGACGTGTCAATGTTAGGCTTGGATCACCCGAATGGGTGGGTGACCCGCGGGTGAGCACTAGGCCTGGGTCACCCGACCCACAAACCCAGNTGGATCACCCGAATGGGTGGGTGACCCGCGGGTGAGCACTAGGCCTGGGTCACCCGACCCACAAACCCAGGACAATCCATAAGAACCCTCCCCCCCGGCCCCACCCCCCTGCCCCCACCCCCAGCATACATATTTCCAAGTTGCGGTCGACCTGTGAACTTCAGAAGTTGGAGGCCCTGGAAACCTAAAGTCTCCACCCTAGCCCCCTGGAACAAAAAGTTGTCGTCTTCGAAAAAGAAAGAGTTGCGCCAATGGCAAATCGAACTTCGGGATCCTCCATGAAAAAATGTGTCACTCTCTACCGGTGGCAGCTGGACCACGGCCCAAACAACAACGGGGATCGAACCTAACCACAACAAGTGATAAGGTTCGCTCCCCAATTTCAAACCTGTGGAGTGCTTCAAATTTTTGCCCCATCATCCAAAGACAACCGAAAGTGGACATGCTTTGAATTTTCTCGTCGTCATGCAAGGATGTTGCTGTAATGCGTGTAAATGTTTGAAGGGACTGAGACAATGGGGAAGGGGCGGGTGCTGGTCGAAAATAATGAGGTACCGGATGCGGCCGGGTAATTTTGTTCTCGCAGGTCTAGGCGGGTCAGGGTGAAGGGTTTTTAAGGGTGACACAACCATTTTCCTTCCCCCTCATTCGCACTCTTTCTCCTTGCTTTGACTGAATCTTGGTCTTGCTTTGATCTACCTTTCGTAACCACTCTTCCTGCCTTCGTCTCCACGCAGGAAGACCCCACTGATCTCCCAAGTATCCGTAGAAATCAGGCAGCAACGTGTAAGGTGGCTTTAAACACTCCATGCTCCTATCTGATTGACTATGAAGTACTTCCGGTGCATCGACATTTCCTTCCATAGTTCCCACCCCCGTATCTCCCCTTCTTCCTATTCTTCCCATTTCTCTCCTTCTCCCCTTTGCGCCACAGCTATAAATCTTGCAAGCGCGTTGCTCTCACTCTCTCTGTTTCACAACACATCTGCACGCTCTGGAAGAGTAGTGCCTAGATGAGGTGGTGGTCGGCTTTCAGAAAGTCATGACGAGTTAGCTACAGCTTTGTGGGCTTGAGTGTTGGATCGCTGCGACAGATTGCAAGATCTGGGCGAATTCGTACAAGAGCTGATTGGACGGGGTGACGATTGCTGGATCTATGCCTTGGACATGTGGCGACCAGGACTGTCAGTGTTCGAGCAGGGTCAAAGGAGTTGATTGGTTAGATGGTCCGGGGCCATAGCTTGAGAATAGAAGACTGCGCCTTGTTTCTTTTCTTTTAGAGTCACAATTCGGAAGCTAAGTGCATGGTGATACGCATTGTTTCTTCTACTTTCGAGCAAGTGTATATTATTTTCTCTCCCGCTCTATGAATGCATGGTGAATGTATGATCGTAGGTATGTCGCCTTGTGTGGATGTATGTGGAGGTGTGATCATGTATGAATACAAGCGCTCGTCCTCGTGCTGTCAAAAACTCGAGCCATGACCGTTGAAGCACACGGACCAGCATTGAGGTGTGTCTATCATTTTCCTTAGGAGTAATGTATTAGTGATGGATGCATGGGGCGCCAGTTTATCTTTCTTTTTCGACGATTTTGTCATGAATGTTCCTCACACTTTCCGCCGGTCCACTCGACGGTTCGTCCCTCT